CTGGGGTTGGGGAGGGGAGTCAGGGGTTGTGGGGCCACTTGAAGGACCATGGGGGTGGTGGAAATGTGGGGAACATGCAAGAGGGGGGCCTGGGCCATGTGGGTGGGGAGGCTCTGCCAGTGCCTGGGGCTGTTGGGAGATGCTGGAGGGCTGGGCATAGCAGCCTAGGCTGGGCACCATGCCTGGCAGAGGACTTGGGGCAGGGTATCAGGATGCAGGGAGCTGTGCGGAGGAGCCAGCCCAGGCCCTGCAGCCCATATCGGGGCAGGAGGCGAAGCAAGGACAACCCTGAGGCTGAACTGAGCAGGGGAAATTGGGTGGACATCAGGGCTGGGGCAATGGGTCATGGTCCTGGGTCTTGTATCACACAGTGAAATCTGCTGTCTCCTTTCCCGCAGATGGCCCCGGAGACTGAACGCTGCTGACAGGGGCTGTGCATGAGTGGAGGGAGAGCAAGAGCCCAGGTCCCAGGCTGTTGCGGGGTCTCTCCTGGTGGAGAAAATGGCAGCTGAGCTGGAGCCCGTGGCAGCTGTGGACTTTCCCTTGGCAGCGCTGGTGCAGGCCGAGGTGAAGATGGAGAAGCAGGATGCAGGAGGACTCAAGGCAGGAGCGGAGGGAGTAGGAAAAGTCTCTCGTGTCATCCAGGCTGGGGCTGGTGGGGCATCCCCGAGACGGTCAGCCCCGCAGCATGTAACGCAGCAGCTGAAAGATGAGCCGGTCCAACAGCATGAGATCCAGGGGCAGGAGGTGAAGCAGGCCATGCAGACCTCTTTTGAGGCTAAGCTGCCCTTGGTGACTCCACAGCCGGCACTGGGGGATGACCTCCCCAACCCAGAGACGTGGCGTCAACGTTTCCGCGGCCTCCGATACCAGGAGGCCGAGGGGCCGCGGGACGTTTGCAGCCGCCTGCGGGAGCTGTGCCAGCGCTGGCTGGAGCCCCAGCACCGCAGCAAGGAGCAGATGCTGGAGCTGGTGGTGCTGGAGCAGTTCCTGGCCGTCCTGCCCCGGGAGATGCAGAGCTGGGAGTGGGAACGCGGCGTGCAGACCTGTGCCGAGGCCGTGACTCTGGCTGAGGGGTTTCAGCTGGGGCAGGTGGAGGACAAGGAGATCCAGGTGAGAGCATTTCACCCTGATCATTGATGCATCTCCATGTGTCTGGGGGGTGTTCTCTCCCGCCCCATCTCTCCTAGTTCTCAGCTCCCCAGTGACTTATTTATCCTGCCCCCAGGGCACGGTGAATGTGAAGGTCGAGGCGGTGTCTTCAGTCAAGACGCAGCCCACTGGGGCACTGCAGCAACCTGTTGATGGCTGTCTGGAGCAGCCAAAGGCCCATCCTGCGGACATGCTTCTGGAGGAGGCAGGGCAGAGGAAAATCCCAGGGCCTCAGGACAAGCCTCTCTGTATCCCAAAAGAAGAGCCCCTGCCCGATGAGGAGTTGGGTAAGATACCAGCTGCAGGCGATAGCATGGGTCTGGGTGCCGGAGTGGCTGTCCTGCCTGCAGGGAAGAGGCTTTTATGCTTGCACCTGCCTGCGACAGGGCGCCCCTATGTGTAACCACGTGTCTGGGGTGGGACATAGCTCTGATCTCGGGTGGGCTGTCCCAGGGCGAGGGCCTCACTGAGCAGGTATGCATGCAGCACCAGCTAGAAAGATGGTTCACCTTGGCTCGACCTTGTAGCTCTATCATGGTCACAAGCAATGATGTGATTCATTTCCAAGCAATCGATGTTCACTCACCCCTTTCTCAAGCCCCCCATGAGCTCTCTGGGGCCAAGGGACTGGTGCAGGTGTTGGGGGAAGTGAGATTCCCCAGTGAGATCTGGCTGGTTCACATACAGCTAACCCAAGGCTTCTGTCCTGCTGCAGATTTCCCCAAAACCAAGGAGACCTGGGAGCTGTCAGGAAATGAAAGCTCCTCAAGCCGGTGCCCCAGACGAGGCCTTTCCCCAGGAGCAGGTAAAGAGCAGCGGTTTTACCCTTTCCAGCAGCAGGAGACACCATCCAGCAGTGAGAAAATCTCTTTGCCAGAGCATTTTGATGCAGTCACTGCTCCAACAGAGCACTTTTCCTTGCTTTCCCAGCGCCCCTGCAAGCATTGCACGCACCCTGGAGAAGATGAACCTTGAATCTGCCCTGTCCTCCCCTCCCATTAAAATGTGGATGCCGCCCCAGCACCAAAATCCCTCGCGGAGCAATGTCCCTGCAGTCTCTTGCATGGTATTGTGATCGCCACCCTGCCCTGGGAGAGAGTTCTTGTGGCTCATCTCCGGCTCCCTGCCTGTGCAGGTCTATTTTAGAAAGAGCGGTGGGACTTTGAATCCTCCTTCTCGCCCCCTCTTCCACACGCCCAAGTCTCTGGTTGCCTTATTCACAGGCCAGTACAGGGGAATGGCAGGGCTTCCCTCCTGCCCGCAGCACCCAGGCTAACCTGTGGATATTTCCCCCACCCAGCAGGTGCAGGGACCCTGACCAGAGCTGACCAGCTGCCTCCCGAGGAAGGGCCTGTAAAGCTGGAGCTGCAGAGGACTTCCCCGGGGAGACTGGGAAAAGGGGGCTCTCTAACGTTTGAGCTGGACCAGGTGTGGCCGCGGCAGGACAGGCCTTCCAAGCAGAGGGGGAGCATGGAGGTGAGCTGGGCACTGGCTGCACTTGGGGGTGGGAGTGCAGCTGGAGCAAAGCCCAGGAGGATGGAGGGTGCTGGGAAGAATTTGGGGACTGGGGAGACCTGAAGAGAGACACGTCTCTGGTGATAAGCTGCAAAAGCACCAAACTGGCCGTATCAGGAGCTCACTCCCAAGTTCACACAGGCAGAGGTGCTGGCACTGAAAGGCACGGTCACAGTCCATAGAGCCAGGTCTCTGCTTCTGAAAGTGCTGCCTGGGCTTCCTCCGAGGACCAAGCGGAGAGAATATGATGAGTTGGGCTAAGGCAGATGCACTAACTCCTATGTCCACAGCTGTGTCCACATCACACGTCAGCTGAATAATGGGGAATTTTGCACCCCTACCTGTCATAGCCAAGCTTGCAAATATTGTAGGACAGAGTAATTCCTGATAGGGTGTGGGGGCTGGAAGCAGCTAGAGCAGGAAATATTAATGGTGGCTGCGCACTTGTGTCTGCAGCCCCGGGACGCCTTTGAGGATGTGGCCGTGTACTTCACCCGGGAGGAGTGGGCGCTGCTGGACGATGGAGACAAGGGGCTTTACCGGGACCAGATGCTGAGGAATTACCAAGC